TCAACGAAAATGCTGTTCACCGAGTGGTTTTGCCTTTTAAAGATCAAAAGTCAGCTGACGCAGTGAAAAGGCAATTATCAGATCTAAGCAACAAAATCGATCACACCCTTCATCCCGTGTTCAAGAGTCGCAAAATCTGTGAAGATCTCAGAGTACGTGAGCCTAAACCTCCTATAGTTAGCCAACAATGCGTTGTATATAATTATAAATGTGATCTGTGTGATGCAGAGTACGTCGGGTACACCAGCCGGCATTTACATCAACGTATTAATGAGCACCGTAATTCGGCCATCGGCAAACATCTAAAGAACGACCACGGCCTACAAACCATCGGCGACCTGACCAAGCATTTCAACGTACTTAAAAAGTGCACCGGGAAACTGGACTGTTTAGTTCATGAAATGCTTTTCATAAAGAAGATGAAGCCCTCTTTGAACAAACAATCGGATTCCATACGCGCGAAACTATTTATTTAATAGTTTACATTTATGAACTCAACACGCGCAATTATTTATTTAAATATTTTAAATATTTTAAACTTTTTACGTTTGCCACCTTCGTACGGTATAAATTAACAATTCATTTTTATTCTCTTCTCACTTGAGAATGATGACATGGAGTCATCGAAACGTTGTGTGTTTTTCTCGCTAGTGTTTATTCTTAAATGTTTAACATAGTTATCATTTTTTTTCTTCTGAGAAATTGAGGTAACTGTTTTGACACGAACAGGTAACAAAGGCTCTTGAAAATACCTCCAGCAACGAAGTGTAAGTAAGTATTTTAATAGACTGCAGCGGGCCGTTTTTTCTCCGGCTTATTCCATCGTGTGGGTTAGGAGAAATATAGGACAGAAAATAAAGCGAGTTGCGTGCGCCTAATTTCTTTTCTCTGATTTGTTTAGACCGCAGGAGGGTAAAATCCGAGAAAGACTGGGAATGGTTGGAAAGCTAGAATGGCTGGTAATTCTGGGTGATATTTTTGATTGATCATAGATCACGGGGCATATGAGTTACAACACTGATTCAACAGAAAGCGACGCGTAAATGTATATAAAGCGCATGGAAAATTTCCACTTCGAGAAGTTTATTCGAAGTAGTTAGCAAAGACACAATGGCGGAAAGACCTGCTTTTAATCAGTTTACCGCTGTACATATTTTTTGTTCTCTCTTAAGATTCCCTCTCAATCAGATATTGAGGAAAAAAAAAGCTCACGAAAATCCTACCATTACATAATTATTTATTAGTTGCACACGCACTCTGTGAACAAAATAAACAAAACATTTTTACGGCAATGAATGCCCTTTTAAAATGGATACAAAAATAAATTTAGATAATTGTGTTTCTTTTCAAGAATACCAGGCTGGCTGGGGGTAATCAATGTACATTAACCATACCAAAAAAGCAAATAGGGATAGCTAGTCTTACGAGGGTACTTAGCCAGTTTAATTGCCAAAGTATGACAGCTTTGCATAATTGGACGGCATATTTTTTTTTTTTTTTAATGCCGAGTGGCGATAGATTTTGGCTCTCGAATTTGCGTTGAAATTTCATCATCGTAAACTTTTTCTTGCTTTTGCAAAAATCAGTGGAAAGAGATATGTCCATTCCCACGAATTTACGAAAATAGCCTTTTATATAAGGCGGGAAGCTGGAAAAGCACAACTTTTCTATGATTTTCTTCCACAATAAACGACAGTGCCGAAGGAGAAGAGATCGTCGGTAAATCTCAAGTCGCTGACAGAGACAGTCCATGTGAGTGTAACCCACGTGGGACTGAAACGTGCACACGTGGGCACGTGCGCACATGGCTATATGCATCTCACGTACACACAGAAAGTTTAACAATTTGGAACAAAACTATTTTAAACTTAATTTAAGGTCTTTTCTAGTAGTTACAGGGAAGTCTTATTGCCAGAATACTGGTAAATAAACATTCCCAGATTAGCCCTGTAGAGGGGAAAACTATCAAAGAGTAAATTCAGAAAATTCAATAGCCACATCTACTTGCGTTAGGAGTTAGTTCTAGACTCAAAGAGGTTCACATACCAAAATTAACATTGAATTCTTGCGGTATACAGTTTTTCTTTGAAAAAAAAAAAGATGTTTTAGGGACTATTTTCTGTGCTCCCGTAAGTTTTTCCACCATTTGAGTCCTGTGTGGTGATTGCGCTGTCATCTCCAGACCCTCTCCTTCCTTTATTCCCGTTGCCATCACCATTCTCCTCGTCCCCGACCCCCACGGCCGAGCCAACGAAGGAAGAATCAGACAACTCTGTGTCTTTAAGTTTCTCAATAAACGAGGCTTTCTGCATTTGATGGTGAATGTTAGATGCGATCATACTAAGCGTGATTGATAGGACTGACAGCCCGAGGAATACGAGAAAAATATTCACGAAGACGAGCTGGGAAAAGAAGATGAGAGAAATTAAAAAAAAAAAAAAAAAAAAAAAAAAAAAAAAGTCTTTTTATAGGATTACACAATTACTGGTGAACCAGTAGTTTCCATTGTGGTCCTTGCAAACAAATGAAACAAATGGTCTAATTTGAACATAACATCATTAAGAACATCATTAAGAACCCCAACCGGCCGGAGGCAAACCAGTTGGCTATTTACAAGCGTGGCCAAGGATCTGAACTCGGGGCTACCGTGAAACAGATCCAGTGGTCAAGGTGGGACTCAAACCGGGGAGCGGCGGATTACGAGTCCGACACTCTAACCACTCGGCCACACTGCCTCCTTGATTATTATTATTGTTAAGGATTGCAAAGAACGCTTTTAGATTGTGTGTCAACAATCCAAACCCACGTTATCACAACGTCCGGATGCTAAAATCACCGGTATTGCGTAGGTCTGTAACAGTCGCAAAACAAACTCTTAAAATGTGAGTATTTTCGCCGCTATATATTCCAAGTAAACGGTGAAATTAATCTTATTGGAGGTATGCATTCATTGCCACGAAAAGATTTTCCTGTTTAGTAACAGTTTTCGAAATTTGTCACTCATAGTTAAATACATTAATTCCGAACTTCTATCTGATAATAATTCTGACGTAACGCTTTTTTATCAACAGGCACAACCGCTGATCATTTCATTTTCCTGCAGAGCAGGCGCAGTTTAGGAGTGCGAGTGAAACGTAATTTCCTAGTGAAAATTAGAGCCGCCACTTTTTATTTTTACGGTTTCAAAAGAGCTGGGGAGAGAAAGAAATTTGTATCAAGGTGATGAACGACGATCAAAAGGAAAGAGGGGGGAGGGGGTAAGGCAATGAAATTACTTCTCGCTTTCCCGACCCCCTCTCCCTACCCCCCTCTCTAACTGCCAAATAGACGATCGCGAACTTGTAACGATAACTTGCCCTAATAAGACTGCACTGCAGACTAATTACTTCCGCAGGGATCAACGAACGCTTTTCATTCCACTAATTTATTCTTGTTTTTCTCGTTGCCATGTTCCCACCAATGACGTAGCTCCATTTTCTGTCTTTAAAAACACACAACTCACAATTCCTCTATTCGCTCCGACGAATGGCTAACGCTCGAAACGTCAGCTTTTGTAATCGTTACTGTGGCCAATTTACCATTTCAACTTTGTTGATATATCCAAATTATTTAATTACTTCCTTGCTTGCTTTCTTTGTTTCATGGCCGCATAAGTAGAAGTGAATAAGAATGTGCAATATACCTGCTCTTTTTGTGGCACAACGTCTCCAAACCCAATGGTAAGATACGTTATGTATTGAAAATAAAGAGATGTGCCAAAATCCCATCCCTCTATCCAACAAAACAGTCCAGCCATGAGAGTTGTGAAGAACAAAAGGATTAACAGGCCCATCCACAATGGAGCATCCACTTGACCATCATCGCCGTCTTGGACGCTGAAAGAAAAATGACAAAGGGTTGACTTTGGGTTGTATGCTAAGAATCGCAACTTGAAGGGAGCAATTATTGTCATTAAAAACAGAGGTAAACATAATGATAATAATGATGACGATGATGATGATGATGATGATGATGATGATGATGATGATGATGCAATCTCTAAATTAATTGGCTGTAATGTGCTTTTCAACACTATGCACGGGACTTCGCCAGACTGCATTGAACAATCTATAAATTTTTAATGGAAACTTTGCAGGCGCCCTTCCCAATTTAGGGTTTTGTTTGGAAACGAGGCTAACCAGTATAGGAAAGATGCAGGAGACGGGACGTACGGTTTATCTTCTTTCCAAGAAAATTAAAACGTCTAACTATCAAATTCCCTATAGCTATTTTAAGACCCTGATTGGTACGGTCTGGGGCTTGAACCCTCAACCTCGTTCCCGTGTGCGGCACTCCGGCTCTTTACAACATGAGCTAACCAGGTGTACAACAATGAGTTAACTGAGAAGTCAACGCGGGAAATCGTTAGCGCAGAACAGACGATAGACATGGTGTTGTATTTGATTGGCCGGTTGGGCGATACGAATTCTCTTAATCGTTTTTTTTTAGCATCACGAAGTGACAGAAAAAGAAAAATCGCATGATCCCTATCATTTCTGACACTCGATTGTCCTTCACCCCAAACATGATCGCGTGCAATTTACTTACGTTCGTTCGTATTCGTAGGACTTGTGAACTTTCCGATACCATTTCAGAAGCCATGCGCACGCATCATTTATGTAGTCACCCAGTATTTTACCAACGATAGCGAGTAATGCTAAGGTAAGCGGTATTCCTAGTAAAGCGTAAATGACACAAATGACGCGGCCAGCCACAGTTACTGGGGACAAGTTTCCATAACCTAGAAGACATGAGTAGTGTTGAATTCAATACGTTTGCATAAAATATCTCAAAATACATGTATATTCATGGCATCCTTTGATCTAATGGGCAGCCAAATTAACTTAAAAAAATTAAAACCTGCTTTATAATGCTAATACATATTACTCACCAATCGTAGTTGTTACGGTCATACAGAAAAATACTGAATTGTAGATGTTCCATTCCTTTTTGGCCGCATCCATGCGTTGGCTGGTTATTCGAGAAAGAACATCGTCAAATTTTCCTAAATCCTTAGAAGTGAGATTTTGCACTAGACCAGGCACATTTATTCCACTGGGTAGCGACAAGTTCTGTCTTATTTCAGAGTTCTGTCAAGGCAAAAAGAACAGTACACGGTAAAATATTGTTTACGATACGTTCTTGTAAGGATGTGCGTTCAGCCTTATTGAGGACCAGTCATTATTTATTACGGGGGAGGGGAGGTCGGAGGAACTTTTGGGGAACACATGTTTTTCGTTGGGGGACGTAAGGGAGAACAGTCGTCGCCAACAGAGCATGAAAGGGGTACTACGAGGGGGGGGGGGTGTCATAAAAACATTACAGAGCCTAATGAGGAGGTCAAATCCAAAATCCCCCACCCCCCTGGGGGATAAGTGAAGACTGGCCTCTTATGACCAGATTTCCATCAGTTCAAAACAGAAAGCCAGTGCGGTGCTCCGCCGCCATAATACCACTTTTATATGGGTGTTTCGTCAATCAAACCTCAATTTCCCACCTAAGCAGCCCCATTTCACGCTTGTAAAATAGCTATGATAAACCGTGTGCTTTCAGTGGTGGAATGGTCATAAAACTATCGTTTATTGTAACGATTAACCCATTGATAATTTATGTTAGCAATAGACCCCACTCTCCATCAGTTACCTGGCCTAGTAACGCAGGATGTTGGTTAAACGCTAAAAAATTTGTTAGTCACTCGCCCAAGGCTCGTGATTTAGACTTTTCCGTGCTTGGACAAGACTCCCCGCGAGGGTTATTACGCCTTTTAATCGATAGAGGGTGTGTTTTATGGCTTAAATTTCTCTACTAGACTTTAAGACGGAATTGTTCTCCATGTACGATCTCGCTCTTGCGTAAACACGCCGCAGAAAAGGGAAATCGAGGATAAGAATTCTTAAAAAGCATAATATCCTTTACATAAAAGCCGTCGTTTCAATTAACAACAAGTTGAGGTGGAAATATGGAAATAATTTTCAATTCCCACTGTCCCTTTGTTTGAAAGCATTATTACGAGAACTCCTGGATTTCTGCTATAGAAATCTACACAAAAGGCTATACCCATTGAGGTGATCCCACAAATAATTGATTTTCAAATCAGAAATGAGTCCTAAAGGCACTAAGCTCGAGAGATGAATAAAGGAGTTTTCTTTATAGAGTTGCCGAACATCACTCGATTTTTTTTCCATGCTATGGAGGCATCTTCGCAGTATTTTCGACGATTATCGGTCGCTCGTCAAACGGGTTTTTTTAATTTAGAATGTTAAATATTGATGAATCTCTTCGTTCAAGCGCATAATCCAAATGGAAGAGAAAGTCTGTGAGTTTAAACTGATCGAGCAGACGAGGCATGTGAGAGATTTAAGTCACAGAGTTTGGGCATAGCCAGCGAGGAACGCCTTTCTCACTAGACTTCAAGAAAAATTGATAGAAAAAATAATACGAGCGTTTTCGATCAGTGTTACACTTTTGTTATTACGTCTTCCGAACCGAACGTTTACATACAAGGAGAGTAAATAAGAAATTTATCTGAGATGGCGCGCGAATGATAAAAAAAAAAGAAAAAACGCACGAGAAAAAAGCATCACATGCCTGCAGGGCCTAATTTGTATATTACAGTCTATTTTAAAGTTATGAAATTTGCGCACAAGCGGCAAAGATTTCTTCCGAACCCGATGGGAAATTGATTATCAAAATAGCGTTAATGGTTAGAATTTGCATACTTTGAAAAACCCTGGGATTTCTTTGTCATTGGGTTTGACATCGAGTTATGAATTTTAAAGTTAGGCCCTATTTTCAAGAAATTGGAGGTTTGCCAACTCAACTTTTCGTGTATTCGATCGCTTTAAATAGAGTTCTCTCGCTACGAAATATTGAAAGAGAAGAGTGTTCTACTTGATCACACTATAACGGAAGATGCTTCATCAATAATATATAAATTATGCTTTCTTCTAATGGAATTTCACGTTGAAAAAAGTTCAACTTGATGCGAACTTTCTATGCTTTTAAACGTTATCATAAACTGTAGTAAATAAATTATCCCACCAAAGTTTGATAACGTTCCAAAACATTCGTTATTTCGCTAGAGAGAAAATATATTGTGTTATGAGTTTTTGTTCAGAATTATTTGTATTAAATTATACATAACCAAGAAATTGCGAACATTAAAAATTGTGTCTAAGCCGTGGTATAGTGTCCTAGAGATTTAGAAGTCTCCGAAACGAAACTTGGCTTCGTCAAGCGCTTCAAAATTGCGCCCAAATCCGCCCGTGTTAGTTGGGCGGCATAATTGATCGCGTATTGTACTCTAACTTACCTTCAAAACATTGAAAATTTCCACCAATTCTTGGGAAGTATTTACGACAACTTTAGGTTGCCGCTCTAGAGCCATAAATAAAAGTCCTCCTAAAGTCAGGTAAGCGGCGTTCAAGAGAATCATGAACAGTGGAAAAGCGGCGCCTTTCTTCTGAATTTTCTTTTGGATCCATTTCACGCATTTCAGTGATCCCTTGATTTTAGTTTTATCAATGCTTGGGAGATTCATATTTGGCAGCATTTTCTTTCGATCTCCCTCCGAATCGTCCTCTTTGTCTTTTCCTTTGAAAAGCGGCATCTTCAACTGTGAATTCCGTGTGGGATTTGACGATAAAATACTTAGTGTGTTTTCGGCGTCCAGACGCTAAAATTACGTTAAGTAACACACAGTTCGACGAGCAGACTGTATATAGTAAACACGCGCTGTTCTTAGAACATCAAAACCACTATTAATTTTTCTGTTCCCGGGAAGTTCTGCTTCTTTCCTCTGAGAATTATCCGTGTTTTTAAGACACTTGGTTCGATCAAATCGACGTCACATGGTTGCAAGGAATAAAAAAATTTCACACTAGATAGTCGTTCGAGATTTGAAAAACATTGGAGCGAAGCTAAAAACCACAGCCCACCAGATTGTTAAAAACGCATTGGACCAAATAAAGTATTCAAAATTCTGCAGTCCTCAATCATGCTTAAACAATTACCCGGCGCCTAGCCTCTCAAGTAAGAGTTATAGTTCCTTGAAGAGAAATCCAATCAGCTGGAAAATCTTTTGGCACTTGTATTTCTAGACACTTCGCTTTCCGACTCCATTGGAACTTTTTGAAAACAAACTTCACTCTTCGGCTTTCTGTCCTTCAAGCCTACGCATGGATTCCTGCAAAGAAAAGAATAATTGCATGCGAACTGCATTTATTATGCAATGTAAACAAAAACAGTGTACAGTGTAATAACATCATGTTCCAGTCTTTAAGAAACATTTTGTTTTGTTCAGTTTAGATCGTTAAAAATTGAGCCCATACAAGGTAGAATAAACACAAACGTGAGTATTGCACCGTTCAGGAGTTGAAACAAGATCGAGAAAATTAATTTTTTTTTCAAGACCGACTGTATATTTAGAAGTAATGTGCGTATGTGAACATACTAGAAAGTGATTGTCAGTTAATTGGCACTTCATAAGTTCCATTTATTCACTTTCTTCTGTACACGAAAAAAAAAACTAACTGAAAAGTGTTTACTTGACACAACAGATATTATGGAAAGCCGTGGAGTTGTGACAAAAAATATATTTACCAGTAACGACAATGGAGACAAAGTTGCATTTTGGTGTAACATAATTGTGTACTTTGGGACCAGCCCGTACGGCCTAAAATCTTATTAAAAGATTGAAATTGAACGAAATGTTAAGTGCTTTGATCTAGTAAAATTGCACGTTGGCCTATATATACGGTTTAAATCGGTTGCCATATGCAAGCGTAATATCTTATTTTAAGTAACTTGTGTGCTTGGGTATAAAGAAGTTTAAAAATCAACGATTTACTAAAGAAACGAAGGTACTTCATAAGTCTGGATAAACTTGACAAGTATGTTTCTGCCACCAAAAATATTTCTTTCAATAGTTTGGTGTTCGGGTCCTTTCCAAAAATTTTGCTATCTACACTCAAAAGATTAACTGTGCTTTTAACTAAATTAATAAATGGAGCACGTAGACACACAAGTCGAGAGCAAACTGTGACAGATATCAGAGCTTTGTTTGCGGTTACTTACACAATTAAACGAGCTACATTTTTGGCTCTGACGAAGGGCTAACGCTCATAACGTCAGCTTTTAAACTCTTTACGGTAGCCAATTTTCATTATCAACTCAGTTGATAAAACCAAAATTATGTTTTTGGGGGATTTGCCTTTACCAGAGATCGTTTTCAACAGCAAAAAGCTCTTTTTCCATGTCAGAAAACATCATTTCCGAGCATAGACGACAGGCGGAATCAAAGAAAAAGTAATGTTCCTCAAATTTCGTTTCCAAATATTGCAGGTTGATCAGCCCCTAGCTACTAAAAGGTTTTTTTGCTTAGAGCTATATTCAAATTAATATTTTTGGTTTTGCCTGACTTCACTGTGTGATTGGTCCAGAAAATTCGCGCCACCTTCTAGACCAATCAGATTCAATTCCATATCGTGTTTTCCCGCGCTTTAATAAGTTTGTTTCTTTCCCATCGACTACTTAGCACATTGGCTCTTCGATATTTTCCTTTTCTCAGACTGTGACTACTTTAATTTTGGTTCTACAACACTCAATTTTTAGTTACTGATAGGGCTTGCATACAAAACTGACTCACTACCTTGATACGTTTTATATGTTTCTCTTGTTAAAAACATTTAATAGTCTTATTTGCATGAAACTGTTGGCCATTTTATCAGCGCGAGGTTTATTTCTGTGAGTTTTTTTTCTAATAACAGAGGTTATCCCTTATTTTAAGGATGTTATGCCTCAGGTTATTTATCACACGGTTATACGTGCCGCCACCATCTCGCATAGAGCACATGTGTGTTGTCAATTTCCAAGATTAAGAAAACACTAAAAAATGAGAATATTAGCACGTAATTACGTTTCGGTCATAGTAATGGACCGCTTTCAGAAATGGCTGCCGTATAAATATTCTTTTGTTTAAATTTAAATTAGCCCTACTGGCCTCGCTTTCCAGTACAAAATTCAAAAGAAACATTATCTCAAGCGAGGCCAGAAGGGCTAAATTGAAATTTAAACAAAAGAATATTAATCCGGCAGCCATTTATGAAAGTGATCTATTGAAGTAAGTTTAAGAAAGAAATACTACAAATCTTTTAGCATCAAGGCAGCGATACATTAAAGAAGAAGTTATTGCGATCCAAGACTCTTTGATATCCTGCGATCAGCGGGTTTGTTCAAGCTATATCTTTCCCCTAGTGTCCCAGCACAAGTAACTAGCTGCAGCTCACATGCCCCAACATGAAACGTAACGCGAAATTTAAAAGCTAAAAAAAGTAACACGTTATTTATAATTCAAGAAACTTTGAATTCAGACATCTCAGAGTTGCATCTTGCGCAAGTTCCTCTGGCAGTATTTGGTCAACTTGCGTAAAATCTCTAAATACTGAAGACCTCTTTCAATTCAATTCATTTACAACCAAAATGTGAAAATTAAAACTACAAAGTCGTAAACAAACAATACTGCACAACCGCCCTCGGTTAGCCCATGTTTTCAAGCGCCGGACCGCCGTGCAGCGTGCAGTGAGTCTAACCTTGTTATTGTTTTAGTAATACAGGCTGCCATTGAAAACAGCTTTAAAGCTGAACTAGGCTAGCTTGTCAAAAAGTCGCAAATAATAAAATAAATAAAAAAATGTTAATTTTCTTACAATTTTAGACAATGTGGTGATGTTCCTCTTCAACTAAGAGTTTCGTCCGTCATTGATTTGTAATGATACTCTCTGTGGAAACTAAAATGTTAAAAAAAAAAATCACGAAAAAATTAACATCGGCAAGTAGGACGATATCATATTGAAACTTAGATAACCGATATGCACTTAAGGTTTTCCATTCAGTCTCGTTCGTTTCCGCGTGGCTTATCAATCACTGTGACCAATCGGAAGACAGGTTGGGGGCCACGTGTGGGGACCGCCTAAAGCCAGATCAATGCAGCCACATGATGGGCTCTTAACAAGCACAGCTGTACCTTCTTTTGCCCCGAGGTCGCAGTTCTAGCAGCTATTTATTCATAAAAAATGGTTTTAGTTATTTATTGTGGTGAATGTACTGGTAACGAAGTGTTTTCGTTTGTCTGACGACGTAATCACTTGAAATATAGATGGTAACTTCATTCATCTACTGTTAGTTTTGTTTAGGCGATGCGGTCGACTGTGTACCCTGGAAGCACTGACGCAATTTCGGTTGTCTTAATAGCCTGAGGGACACAAGCAGTGTTTGGGGGAGGGTTCAGGAATTCTTGTGGGGGGGGGGGGAAGGAGGAAACTTTGACTCAGAAAACACGCAATTTTTTATCAACAAAAGAGCCTGAATAAACTAAGAGAGGGTAAGTAAAACAGTGTAGAGGGCCCAGACCCCCCCTGGACCATTTCCCTGGGTCCACTAGTACCATCAATAAACGATTTCTCGATGGCTTGAGTCGAGTTTTCTTCAAAAGCGGAGATGGAGACATAAAAAAATTTTTCCTTAACAAATCCTCTTTGAACAAAAAAGACTTGTCACTTTTTCAACGTGTAGACTAATACCTATTCACGCCAATACTGAAACATGCCTTAAAGCTGTTTTGTTAAGTACCGCCGGTTTAAATTTTTTTTCTTCATATAAGCTGCCTCATGCAGTAAAACCGATGTTTGTAGACTTCAAATTTAACACATTGAAAATAAAAGTTAGTGACTACTTGAAACTTATGAAAAATTCCGTTTCATCAGTTCTCTGTTTTCATTCAGCTAAGTCCGGTTTACCTAAACATGTTTTGCTAATATGCTTGGCGTGTCATCAATAAAAGTATTTTTCGGAGACGAGATTTATTGGCTAACGTCTACGACTACGCAAGAAAACTGATACCAGAACGGTAAAGGGTTTATCGAAAATTAAATTGTATTTCGGAAGGTATTCTTTTCATTGAAATGATTAGTGTTTTTGACAAGTATTCATCACCAATGTATACAGCGAAGAGAACTTTTTATCTCATGGTAATTCCACTCGCCAGCGCAAACCGTTAATTGAAATGGTGACTCTGATGTCAAACTTTTTTTTCAATCTTGAAGAGAATTAAACGAGTCGGTCCCAGTTTTTCTTTCGCTGTAGAAAGTGATTGGTAAGGCGTTGAATCATTTTAACGCTCTGTAGTGCCAAGTTTGAGTCAGCTGAGAAAATAACACGTTTTTGAAAAGCAAATTTTGCTAAGTAAACTTTCATAAAAAGATTATTCAGCGCAGCATGTTCCTTCGTTTTGTCACGAGAAATAGGGCCGAAATAAATCTAACAGAAGCTTTTTTTCGTGCTCGATGAAGTAAGCTTAACTGGCAACGTTAATTAACGTGTAAAAAGCAGATCGTGAATTATAACTTAAAAAAAAAAAACTGATATGCTTTTGTTGTGCTTTGTGGGCGTGCAGGGGACTACTGCACTAAGTTGATTATCAACTAAAAATTGTTAAGTGTAGATAAACTGTCGTCACGGCAGCGAAGGTCCAGGCTGACATTTTTAAAATGCGTTATTCCCTTGATTGGACAGAAAGTCAGCTTTTTCCGAACTTTATTTCGGCGGTTTATAAACCTTCTAAACCTTGTGCTGATAATCAGTGGAGCATTTCAATTTTTCTATGACCGCAAAAAGGGAAAATAAGCAATTTCGACTAAGAACGTTTGTTTCAGAGGTCAAACTCAAACCTTCGACTTCCAAGCAATCCCAATCTATTAACGGAACAATTTTCTTGTTTTCTACACAAAGAAAGATGAATAAAATATGTTACCTGAGCAATTCAGCGCCGCAGTAAATAAGCATTTAAAGATTCATTTTTCCGTCTTCACTCTCTGTCCTCCATGTGGGGAGTCGCTGGGGTTCTCTCACGCTAATGAGACTTCGTTCTCGTGCATTTGGATACCGAGCGCTTCCGAAGACACGAAGATAATTGCGAAATGACACGAAGGTGATCAAATCTCAACTGAGCTGAGATGCGAGATGCACAAAATGTTAAGATCAAGGTAAACATGAGAAGCTTCCCTGTTCACGAAGAGAAAAGCAAATTCAAACCAATGCGGAATAACAGATAATTCGGATCAAGAGATCATCAACTGTTCGGATATAGAATTATAATTTTGACTATTGGAAGAAACCTCCGAAAATAAATGGTGTCGTGGGGATTTTCCCCCGCTCCGCCCTATCTGTTTTTAGAGGACTACTTGCCGTCACCTATGTGATTAGTTTGAATGTTTATTTCCGGAGAACCACGTAATTTTTTTTATGTTTCCTTATCCTTTTTTCTTTAATTTCCTTATCAAAACAGGTAACACTTCTCGTTCAAATCAATCCAAATGACTTGTTTTCATGGCCTTAAAGATTACTTAAATTCTTCATTGACGCTCTTTCCTTGTCTCGGCAGGCCGCGCCATTTTACGTACAATTTTGTTACATTTATCTTTCCAGTTCCGGCCCAACCCTCAACATCACTTCCGGCAGGGCCCTTAACGCTCAATACAGAGACTGGGCTCTTACGCAGGTTCTATTTCCGTCGAACATCGCCTAAAGATCCTTCAAACAGTTTCAGAGTAGTTAAGTATATTTGCGCTCGATTGCATTGACATTCGAGGAACAGTGATGGCAAAGATCTTTCGTCGAGCTGCGAATAAGGTTATAAATTCCAGGGATGGCCACGGTTCCCTTGGTCTTCTCATCTTCGACGAAAAAGTTGTCTGCGAAAGTTTCCAAAAGCTGATCATCGCGAAAGCGAATGGTAGGTTTTTTTTTTAAATACTAGCTGTGCTCGAAAGCGCTGTTTATAAGATATTTTCTACATTGGCAAACTGACTCAGGTATTAAAGCTTGGAGAATAAGTCTGGATCGCTGTCGAAGGTTTCTCGCTTGCAAAATTTCAGCTCAAAGAGGCTTCTACTTGCTTGGAATACCTTTGTTATGATTATCATAATCAGAAGCCATGTTTTCTAGTTACGCACCGTTGAACTCTGTTGAATTCGAAGGCTCGATCAGCTGGTAAATTGGTGAATATTAAACGATCAAGCCTTCTTGAGCAACTCTCTCTCTCTCGAGTTCTCAATAGAACGTTTCAAATTAGCGATTTGCTTTGAATTCGCTCTCATGATTAATTTTCAAACTTCGATCCTATAAATGTACCGCCGGAAGGGATATTTAATTGAGGAAAATCATTATGTCATCAGTTAGCAACGGATATCTGCGTATTCAAAAAAGGAATTTCGCCATTTTTGGTACTAATAATATTGGTTGATGCGAGAGAAAATAAATATTAGAGTCCAAGGGTGGAGTGGGTGGGTTGTTCCTGATGGGGACTTCCCTAGCAGAGGATTTCTTAGTCATGAATGTACATATGTAGTTTTTCATGCATCTCTTTCACTCACAGGGGTGCTCAAGGTCAAATTTTTGTGCAATATCAATACCTTGACATACAGACACTGTAATTTCACTAAAACAAGAGATAAGGAAACTGCAACAGTCAGGAGGAAGAATTATCAATCCCTGAAAGGGCTGGCACCTGCAGAGTGACTTTTGATTTCCATCAAAGTTCCAGTAACCATTCTCTGGGTCCCGCAAACAATTTGGCCCCTTTCTGCTGAGTAGAGCTTACCAAGGAATATTTTTTCACCTTCTGGATAACAGATACTTGTGCATCCCCCACCCTCCCCTCCCCACCTTCAGCATTTCATTAAGTTTCTCTGAAATTTCTTTGATACTCATTTATTCTCATGGGTGGAGAGGGTAGAGAGAGGTATCAGGAGAGGAGAGTGTTATTCCAGAACCCAGACCTCTTGATCAGAGCTAGTACATAAAGCACTTGGTCAGTGGATCTCCCCCTTAGCTCTAGGGTCAGCTGTAACACATGCCATAAACACTTTACCCCTTGCATCAGTATGCAAATTCTCCATACTGTTCTCTATACATTTCCTGATATTTACAAGGATAATTTGTCCAACAATCAAGACCTTCTTGAGTTAGCGATCATTTTGTTCAATTTCTCACTAAATGTTTGATTCAGGTGCAATACTGTGGTGAGAAAGTAGTTGCTCATCTCTCAAAAAAAAATATTTATTAACACACATAATGGATCTCCCACAGCATCCTTAACTATGCTAAAATGGGCCAAAAATGAGGAGAATTTAGCTCTGCAGGACGTGTTCAGCAAAGTGTTTGAAGTATCCACTATGTGGACAACAGTTATGAAGGATTTTACAGAAGAGGTATTTAAAAATATTCTTACTCCTTAATCCTTGGGAATTCTTAACCCTCTTACACTCTAACTATCAGTGTGAATTGTATATTCTCCATCCTGTTCTCCATACAATTTGCTACCTTTCTATAATATCGAGATCGAAATGGATGGATTTTCTAGTCTTCTTGGATAAGGACAAATAAACCGTAGGTCCCATCTCCTGCAGGGTTAGGGGTAGGAGATGTTAATTTCCCACGCATGAGATAACTGTGTAATGGATGTCCTCCCCTGGGGTGGGATGGGTGGGTGTTACTCGGAGATACTAG